CTGTTGCCTGCAAGATTTAGCACTTAAGCTCTAGCATCATGTCTGCCTGTGTGCTGCCATGCTCCCCATCATGATGATAATGGACTAAACCTCTAAACTGTAAGGGAGCCACCCCAATTAAATGTTTTATTTATAAGAGTTGCTGTGGTCATGGTGTCTCTTCACAGCATAGAAAACCACAACTAGGACCAAAATTGGTACCAGAAGTGGGGTAATGCTGTGATAGGCCTGATCATGTGCTTATTTTTAGGAATTTGAACTTTGGTGCTTTGGGTATAGAAAACAGTAGAATGCTGTAAGCACTGTTTGATGGGCCATTAGTATGGGTAGGAGCATGGAGGACAGTGGTGCTAAGAGTTATTTGAACTGTGGGAGGCTCACTCAAGAGGTTTCAGAGAAGAAGAAATTTAGTATGTTGCCTAGTGATCATTTTGTGATATTTTGGTGAAGAGTTATCATGAAAAGGAGCAAGCTGAGCAGGGTAAATTACAAAAAGTAAACTTGGAGGAGGAAAAGAGCACCAGGAAATGGAATGGAGCTAAATCCTATGTTTATGGAGATAAATGTAATAAGAAATGGAATAAAGGGAGTGACCTCAGGGCAAGATTCTACCCAGCTAAATCCCAACTTGTGGAAAGAAACTAAAAGAAAAGCTTATAGCCAGGTATGGTGAAGCACACCTTTGACCCAGCACTGAGAAGGCAGAGGTTGGTGGATCCCCGAGTCTGAGGCCAGCCTTGTCTACAGAGCAAGCTTCACGACAGCCAAGCTTAGGCAGTGAAAGACAGAAAGCTGGTGAAGATGTAATTGAACAAGGGAGCCATGTTCCAGTCCAGCCAAGCAGCAGAACTTGGCAGTTTCAGCCAGGTGGTTCTGTCTTTAGAGTGGTAAAAGAAAGGAGTTATGGAATAAAGCAGTCACTGAGGCCAGGCATGTGTCAGGATGTCCCTGAAAGGAGGCCTAGTAGAAAAGCCATGTGTGAAACTGTGAAGTTGAAGCCTGGGTTGCCTTGGAGACCCCAGATGTTAGAGATGCCAGAGTTCTGGGATGCCTGCTGAGGAGAGATGCTAACAGGCAGTGGAACCAGCCCAAGAGAAAGAAGTGTGCTGCAGTCCACGAAGCTGAACGGAGTTGGAGATCTGACGAGTGTTTTGATGTCAGGCGTGGAGATGCAAGTTTGGAACTGGCCCAGCTGGTGTTTGGTCCTGCTTTGGTCCAGTATTTCCTCACTATGCTCCCTTCCCTGCATTTTGGAATGGTAATGTATATCCTGTGCCATTATATGTTGGAAGTATGTGATCTGCCTTTTGATTTTGATTTTATAGGAGATTACAGTTAAGAGATTGCATGAATCTCAAGAGAGACTTTGAACTTTGAGCTTTTAAAAGTTTGTTGAGACTGTGATAGACTTTGGGGACTTTTGAAGTTGTACTAAATGTATTTTGCATTATGATATCCTTACAAGTTTTGGGGGGCCAAGGAGTGGAATGTGGTAGTTTGATCTCATAGGGAGTGGCACTATTCAGGAGGGATGGCTTTGGTGGAGTGGGGATGACCTTGTTGGAGGAACTGTGTCACTATGAGGTCAGGCTTGAGATTTCCTATGCTCAGGATACCACCCAGTGAGTCAGTCAACTTCCTGTTGCCTGCAAGATGTAGGACTCTTGGCTATTCCTCCAGTACCACGTCTGCCTGCATGCTGCCATGCTCTCCACCATGATGATAGTAGACTGAACGTCTGAATCCCTAAGCTAGCCCCCCTCAATTAAATGTTTTCCTTATTAAGAGTTGCCATGGTCATGGTGTCTCCCTCTCTCTTTTAATCTTTTTTTTAATGTTATGGTGTCTCTTCACTGCAATAAAAATACTAACTAAGACAATAACAGAACTTGGGAAATCTTTGTGGGCTTCATGGGCAGGTTAAACAAGCATAGCAAGATCCGTCCTAGATTTGATGTGCAGCTCAAAGACCTAGGAAATTGACAGAATGATCTGCTCCTACCCTGTTTGTCTGCATTGGACTGACATCTCCAGCTGGTACCGTGGACCATGAAGAAGCAAGATGAAAACACAAGAGGGAAAACTCCTGGGGTTCTTTTTCTAAGAATGTATCACATGTATAAATAAAATGTCTCAAGAAAGAGAGAGAGAGAGAGAGAGAGAGAGAGAGAGAGAGAGAGAGAGAGAGAGAGAGAGAGAGAGAGCAAACTCCAGACTGAAGACACCAAAGCAAATAAGTGGGGTTTGGAGTCCTGGGCAAAGACCATAAAGCCTGCGGAGTAGCCACACTGGTGCCATCACTGGCTGCCAAGTATGCCGATGCCATCCTGTTCCCAGTGCCTCCATTCTCCATGCCCTATGTGCACAGCCTCCTCCATCCGAGCCCCTTCTGCCCCTCCATGGGGTCAATTCTCAGTCGTCCTCCAGGCTTCCACTGTCTGTGCAGGAGCCCCATTAGGGAGAACTGCAAGTGGGAGGCCCCAGTGAAGATTCTGGAAGTGAGGCCAGTCTTAGTGAGCTGGCTGCCATCTGGAACAGAGAACAGGGAGTGCAGCTGGAAAGTGAACCCCTGCTTTTCTGTTTCTGAAGAGGGAGGTACCAACTAACAAGAGTCACCAAGGTTAGCTAAGCCCCGGATCAACAGACTTCTATGCAGCTGGGGGGCGGGGCCAGGCTGGGTCTCACACACTCCATTTCCAGTGAGGAAAATGACCCTGCCTGTACAGACCTGAGACCACAGGCCACAGAGAGGAAGTCCATCTGGGCGGCCCAGCAGGCAGAGTAATTCCTGGAAGGAAGCTCACATCTCAGGAATCTGGTAGAGAGGGACATTGCTGAATCTCTGTCCCAGGAGTTGCTCGCTGCCAGTATCCAGGATCTGATAACAGGAGGAATGGGCACCATCTGAGCAACTTGGCTTTTGAACTGGGATACAGCGGGCCACTAGCCCCCACCCTGTGGCTCAGGCAAGAGTGAGGCTCAGAGGGAGGCAGCCTGCAGAGGTTGTCCTATAGTTTCTCAGATGCAGTCTCCCTGCCTATACCTTGAACTATACCTTGTGTGGCTTTATTGCCACACAAGGGAGGGGGGATTGGAACGCCCAAGTAAGGTTCCTAGATAAGCACAGCACATTTTGAAGTCCAGAGGACAGGCTCCACGGGTGAAAGAAACCAGCTCTCCCTTCCCCTTCTTTCCCCTCCCCTCCCTTCCCCGTGTGCGAGTATGTGTGTGTGTGTGTGTGTGTGTGTGTGTGTGTGTGCACATGTGTGCATGTGTGTACATGTGCACTCACTCTCCAGTCTTTGGAACACAGCCAGCAAGCCAGGCTTGGATCTAAGCATGGATGGGTTCAGATAGGAGAACAGCATGTCTTAAATATTACTGTTACTCTGAGTGTGTCCTCTCCTTATCAAGTTTTTCCCTAGGCTTCCCTTGGGCCCTTCTCTGGGCCTCTTCCCTTCCAGGGGAGGCCCTCTCTTCCAGTCCTACTCTTCCAATGTGTATCTGGTGGGCTGTCACAAACATGGAAATCCTGCCCATCGGGCCATCAATCCATCAGTCTCCTTGGTTCTGCCAAAACCAAAGGAGATCCCATGGTTCAAAGCATGCTCTACCCTTGGCTAGCGTCCCTAACTGTCCTTCCCAGGCCCAGCCTCCAACACTTCTCATGTCCTTCAGGCACAGACGTTCTGAGCTTCCCAACATTTGCTTCACCCGAGCCAGCCCTGGATATGGCCCCTTTACCATTACTCCTCCCTTCTCCAGGCCTTTAGGAGAAACCAAGCCCTTGTATTTTACTATGGGTGTTGTGTCTGCTCAGAAAGCTCCCAGAGTTTGGACGGCATAGCAGAGCTCCTTGCTCCTGGTACCCATGACATAGCAGAGCAGTAGGCAGCGTTAGGGCAAAAGGTGAACATTAATATTTAAGGAGATTCAAACTGGCTGGAGGCCTCTGCAAAAGAATCTTGTCACGCATGTCCTAACAGACAAATACACAGAGACACAAGATACAGTGTCACACATTCATACTGCACAGATGCATCCGCAGGCAAGCAGGGAAAACTGATTACTGGATACCTTACACACACACACACACACACACACACACACACACACACACACACACACACACGCACACAGAGTTCCGGCCCTGACCTCAGTTACAAAGCTCTCTGGGACAGTAAGGGCAACAAGCCCTAAGGAAGGTAGCATTTTCTTTCTCTGGGCAGTGATGGAGGCAGGGCAGGGCAGACCAGGAGGGAAAATGGCCTTGCAAAGGGCAGGATGGCAAACAAAAGTCATTCCTCTTGTCCTCTGGGTCTGAGGGAGCAGTCACAGGTATGGAGAGCAGAGGCCCTGGGGGATACTGGGAATGCAGGGCAGGGTAAGTCAGCTCAGGACAGAGCTCCAGCAAACACCTGACAACCACCCATGGCTTCCCCTACTGGCTTCTGATGGAGAAGCCAGGTCCTGGCATCACCGAGAGGTCCTGGGTGGATGCAAGAAAACTGAGTTCCATTTGAAAGGTTGAGGATTTCTCACCACTGAGGCAGAATGAATGGTGTCTAGCCAAGCCTGAGGTCCCACTCTGGAGACCTAGGTTCTGCCTTCACCCCCACTTCCAAACGCCCTTTGGAGACACCAGCTAGGAAAAGTGTTGAAGAAAGAGTGGAGACTTCAGAGATCTGAAATAGGGTCACCCTCCATAGGGGACTAGACTCTAGACAGCCGATGCCAAAGCCCAAGCCCAGGGTGGGCAGCTGGGGAAATGGGAGCTGCAGAAGGCCTAGGAAAGTCTGGAATTCTCCTCCTACCCTGCTCCTCCCCCTCTACCTTCTCCCATCCCACCCCCCTGGGCAGCCCTCCGAGCAGGGGAGGCGCCGCTGGCCCGTGTGCTGTTAGAAGCTGGGAGGGGCTGGGGACGCTGGACCGGGTTGGGCCCCTCGGCTGAGCTCCGCGCAGGCAGGCCCCGCCCCGCTCACACATCTGGGCGGTGAGGGCTGCCATCCGGCCTGGGGGAGGGTGCAGAGAAGGGCAGGCCTGGTGTACGTCGAGGGCCACAGCAGACTTGCCGCAGGTTCTGAACCAGCATCCAGGCGGCCAGACCCAGTGGAACTGTCCGCAGGGCGGAGGTGAGCTGGGGAAGGGCCTATGGGCTCCCCAGGGAGGCGCTGAGGCTCCTGTCTGGGACTGTAAGCCCGTGAAGTCGCGATCTGGGTGGGAGCAAATCTGCAAGCTCCTCTAGGAGGCAGGCCCGCTGACCCGGGTCGGGGGGGGGGGCGGGGGGGACAACTGAGCTTTGGCTCCTACCTGAGGCTGTGGGACCTCCACCGGAGGCTTGATCTGGAACGACCCAACCCCGTGCATGGGGAGTGGGGTTGGTGCTGATAGCGGAGCCGCTGTGACCTGGGGCCTGCTCGCTTAACCAGTTGTGGGGACCTGCTGCCTGGGCTAGAAGTGAGACTGGGGGTTGAATATTTGTGTGTCAAGAGGTGCCTCATGAGGCTCCAGTCGCTGAGGTCCAGGGATGCGGGAAAGCATCTGGGTAGCCAGGGTGTCAGTATGCCGGAGACCTTAGGTTTCTGTCAACGAAGCCAGGGTGGGGATCCAAGTTGGGTGGGGTCTGGACTTCTCCAGGGTTGGAGGAGCTATGTCTGTGGGGTATATCTGTCCCGTGGAGAAAGGGGGAAACGCTTACTCAGGCTGCCTTGAGCAGATGGAGCCATGGAAAGTGAAAAACTTCACTGGGGACAGTGGGCAGGGGTGAGAGACTTTAGGTTTTGGCGGGACAGAGATTGTGAACTAATAATTCCCATGATGAGTACCCAAAGGGATGCTACATATGTGAAAAGCAAAGCTGAGGCAGAGATCGGGACACCGGTGGCCATTTCTGTCACCCCTAGCTATACAGCAGCCTACTTACTCTACAGCCTTTTTCTGGTTCCCTCTCCTCGAAGTCATCTTCCAAGGACAGGGTGGGGCAGCCCTTTGGGTGCCATTTCTGATCTGACCCTTGGAAGAAATTGTCTGTAGCTTCAGCCTGCTGACAGTCCTGTTGGAATAAAGGGCTGGCAGGGTGCGGGACCTGTTACGATCTGAGCGGGTTCTTTGTTCTTATGGGCATCACACAGAAAAAGGAAACCCAGCAACACCACACACCTGCAGGGTTCCGATGATCATAGGTAGCCACCTAATCACCCACCCAAGAAGAGACCCTTGGAGAATTGTGTCCATCAGGGAAACTTTTCTAGGTTATTGTGAGATCTGGGGAAGTGTCTGAGTTCCCACTGACACACCCTGTCCTGGTCCCCCGTGGCTGACAACAGACCGTGCCTATTAAACAACAATCAGAGCTGAACCTGAAGAGGAGGAGTCAGCCATAGACAGGCTCGGGCCTGGATTTTGCATGCAATTTCCATCCCAGAAATGGAGTTACTTTCTGTAAACCAAATTATCCTACCCAGTGACTCTCAAACTCCGATGTTACCACCCGGAAGTTAGAAGTCCCTGGGATGGGGTTCCACCTCCATCTGTTTCCACCTCTGTTTTCCACCGAGACCTAGCTGTTGGAGCTGCGTTATCCTAAGCCCCTGAGTCGGCATTCTCCTCAAATGTTTTAGGGTACACATGCATGATAGCCTGGGAAGGTCTTGAAGACACATTGGGCACATGTGTGTCCCTGCAAAGCTGCTAGCCCCTTTTCCTCCATCTCTGAGGAATCCGGGGAGACTCCTTTACCACAGTTTGTTTTAGTTCCTACCTCTTTCAAAAAGAACTCAGGGTAGGTGCAATAGAAATTCTCAGGAAGATCCAGTACTAAAGTCGAATCCACATAGAGAAGCAAAGAGCACTGTCCACATACACCCAGCCCCATGCCTTTCCCAGCACTTTCCGAAGCTGGACTTGGTCTTCAAGCCCAGTGTCACCCATTATGCTGAGGTATGGAGAGGCGACACATTCTTATATGGTACCACAATGGGCCCTGGAGGAGGTGTAGGCATCTGCTGGTGACATGGAATTAAGCCTTAGGGTGACAACTCAAGTCTTTTTCTCTTGGAAGTTTAAGGTTATTTTCTGTTAGCCAATAAACTTGGCCCAGAAAAATCCATCCATCCATCCATCCATCCATGCAATCATTCACTAAGTGGTTCTCAGCACCCAGCTCTAGCCTATGACAGAGAAATGCTCAATACATATGGCAGTGGGCTTTGATACAGTGGCATGTCAGTAAATACAGTAAGTTCTCTAAGAAAGAGAAAAGCCTGGTTTGTAGTTTTTGCCAATTTCTGCAGTGTAAATACTCCTGGCCATGGCTGCTTTCAAGTTAACATCACTGTGTAAGAGACAGTGTCAGCTCTGGAGAGTTTGTAGTGTCCAGCTCTAGTTTACTCTCTTAGCTGAATTCGACTTCTGCGCTGACTCCCAGGGTTCCTACAGGTCCCCTCTATTTGCTTGCCTTTCTTCAACATTATCCCTTAGCTACAGCCAGCCCTCATCCTTTCCCCAATTTTGACTCCTGCTACAGCCAACTCTCTCTCTCCAGTGCCGTGGAAGCAAGATCATATGTGTCTAGAAATCTCCATTGTGCTGGCCACACTGGGGCCCCCTGGATGTACAAGGGCCTGGCTGTCTTTCCCTGGTGCTGAGTGTGTTCGGATGGTGTGTAATCAAGGGAGTATCCTTGTGTGTATGGGTGTGCCACTGCCCGGCTCTGTCTGTCGGTGTTCTGTTAGCAAAACTTCCTGATCAGGCTACAGAGAGGTGCAGCCTCCACCTTTGTTTAAAGGGGCAGCCAGGCTCACAGGTAAGAGCAGCAGCACCCATGCTTTGGAGACCACAGCGCGAGAACACTTGACTATTACTTAAACTGTAAGGAGAATCTGAATTACTTTGGAGTCTCATTAAAATACAAGTCCTGGCCAGGCGATAGTGGCACACACCTTTAATTCCAGCACTTGGGAGGCAGAAGTGGGAAGATCTCTGAGTTCGAGACCAGCCTGGTCTACAGAGCAAGTTCCAAGTCAGCCAGGTCAGGGATGGATGGAATCTGAATTTTCATAAGCTACTGTGGGGCATAGTGATGCCGGCACTGCAGGCCCTGAGGCTACAGTTTGAATAACAAAACTTGTGATGAGTTAGAGGCATTTGCTTAGAGCTTAGATCCCAGAACTTCACAAATTCAAGTTCAAATACCTCCCACGTTAGGAACAAAAATATAAATATCCTTGGTTTACAACAAATAATTAATAATTAAGTTTGGGCCAATAAATCAACTTGGAGAAGCAAGCTGGATCTCCAATATAACGTATAAACACGGGTGGTGGTGGTGCACTCCTTTAATCCCAGCACTAGGGAGGGAGAGGCAGGTGGATCTCTGTGAGTTCGAGGCCAGCTTGGTCTACAAAGCAAGTTCCAGGACAGCCAGGGATACACAGAGAAACCCTGTCTTGAGGGGAAAAAAAGCACTTGCCATGCAAACCGGATGACTGGGGTTGATCCCTGGAATCCACATACAGGTGGAAGGAGAGAAGTGACTTCCAGAAGTTGCCCTCTGACAACCATACCTGCACCATAGATGTGTGTGCCTCCATATTCAACTTCTTACCTCTCATGAAATAACAATTAGGAATTTTAAATTTGTTTTAAAATGAGAACACGTGGACATATAACCTTCCTTTCCTCCCTCCACGTGCTTGTATCTACCCCTCTCACCAAACTTCTTTTGTTCAGCTTTACCTGAGTTTATCTGTCTTGGAACCGTAAGACAGGTATTTGCTATCTTAAGGGCTTCTATGTTGTTTTAGCCAGGTGTTGGTGGCGCACGCCTTTAATCCCAGCATTCGGGAGGCAGAGGCAGGTGGATCTCTGTGAGTTTGAGGCCAGCCTGGCCTACAAAGCTACACAGAAAAACCCTGTCTCGAAAAAAAATGTAAATTTTATTTGTATGACTGTTTTACCTGCATGCCTATCTGTGCACCACGTGTGTGTCCGGTGCCCACAGAGGTCAGAGGAGGGCTTGGCTCCCCTGGAACTGGAGTTGGAGATGGTTGTGAGTCACTGTGTAGGTGCTGGGAACAGAACTCAGGTCCTCTGCAGACACAGCAAATGCTCTTAACTGTTGAGCTATGTGTCTAGCCCCTCTGTCTAAGGACTTCTTAAAATCACCCAGTTTCACCCACTTCTCTTGCTGGGTTGTCATGGACACAAAGGAGGGTTCTTAGTCAGCCCACTTCCACCTGCCTGGCTTTTAAATGTCCTTTCTCCTCCCTTCCCTCCCAGTCTACCTCTTCCCAGGCTCCCACGACAATGACTCTAATGTCCGACTCAGGGACTCCCCCATCTCCAGACTACATATGTGATTGCTTGCTGGGTTTTGACCCCGGTGTGAAACTGTATCCACACTCTGCCGATTCCTGCTGCCGGCCTGCCTTGTGTCTAGTGTTCTCTAGCTTCCCTCCCGTCCCGCAGCCTAAGTCAGAAACGATTCCTCCTGAGGCCCACTTAACAGGCTCTGCTGATTCACACCGCTGCCTCTGAAATGACCCCAGTGTGTCTGAGGTGCACAGCTCACCATCGGCCGTAGCCTGGGAAGCAGCCCAGCTGATTCCCGCTTTCATATCGCTCTCCAGCAATGCACTCCCTCACAAAACCAGCATCAAAGCGCAGATGCGGTCATGCTTCACCCCACCCTGCAACTTCCAAACCTTGAAGACTTTCTGTTGCCCTTCGCATAAAACCAAGTCTAAAGGAGGGCCCGGCCCAGCTCCCCCACACCGATGCCATCTTCACATCCTCAGTAGCTTGGCACCCTCCAACTTACTTTCATGCTGGTTTGATCATGGTCACCTGAGTCCCTACAACAGACACAGACCACCATTTCCTAAACCACGGCTAGTGATCCCATTATGAGGACACCTGACTGAACAGGTAAGATGGAAATCTGGCAACAATAAATTTGCCGAATGTTCAGTGACCAAAAATTACTTCAAAATCAAAATAAACTGAATAAATGCAGTTGTCCCTGGAAGCGCTAGCCCTTTCCCGCTTGTGTGGCCCCACAGCAGCCGTGGTTCTGAGCACACAACACGCTCCCTTTGCACTGCGCATGCTGATCTGCCACGAGATATCAACAGAAACTGGCAGAAACACCTCAGCTCAGATTCGAGACTCTTCTGTGTAAGGAACTGAGTGTTTTTACTGTACATACAAAACTATGTAACTCTTATATGACTCCTTATAGGAACGTGTTGGTTTAATTACAGACTGTTTATTTTTATTTATTTTATGTTTATGGATGTTTGCCTGCATGTGTGTCTGTGCATCACTTTCATGCTTGGTGCCTCTACAGAGCAGAAAAGGGCATCGGATCCCTTGGAACTGGAGTTACAGATGGTTGTGAACTGCTGTGTAGGTGCTGGGAATTGAACCCTGTTCCTCCAGAAGAGAGCTCTTAATCACTGAACCATCTCTTCAGCCATGAAGATGTTTGATTTTAAAGACTATTGTTTGAGTTGCTGAGTTGAATTACATTTTTTAAAACATTAAATGAATTCTTACTTGAGTTAAAACAGGATTTCCTGCAGTTTCTGAAATGGCCCTAGACACACATCTGTCATTTTGTTCTGTGTATTTATGTGAAGCAGCACTCTCAGCTCAGGCACTAGAAAATCAAAATATCCGTCAACTCTCACAAATGTTGAAGATGCTTTACATTCTGTAATATCAAATATTCAGTCAATATCCATTTATTTGCTTGTTGGTTTTCTTGAAGTAGGGTCACGTGTATCCTAGACTACCTACCCTCCCCTTGATATGTAGTCACAATTTACCTTGAATTCCTGATCCTGCTGTCTCCACCTTCCAAGTGCTGGAAGTAGAGGCATGAGCCACCATACCTAGCTAAGGTTTCATTTTTTATGTAAAATTTACTATTCAAGTTTTCTTCTGTCTTTAGTAAGTGGGAAAATTATATATACATATATTAGAATTGTTTTAAAAATAAATTTCTATGACTTATACGAATAAATATTTATATTCCTATTTGATATAGTTATACACCCTGGATTGCATGGAAATTTCTTATGTAGAATAGGGTCACAAGTGAAGCAGGATCTCAAGGGGACAGTGTAAGGACCCGCACTGTGGGGCTGCAGAACTGGCTCAGCTGTGAGGGGCCCTGGCTGCTCCTCCAGAGGACCTGGTCTCCCGGCACCCACGTGGCAGCTCTCTGTAACCCCAGATCCAAGGGATCCGTCACCCTCCTTGGACACTAGACACACGCATGTTATAAAGGCATACACACCCCAGAAGACAATAGAAATATGATCAATACTTGGCACAAAGTGAGTGCCAGAAAACACTGAGGAGGGGCGTGGTTCCCACAGCACAAAGACCATTTTTGGAGCAAGCCAGGCCCGTGGAAACTAGCTCTAGATGAAGGGATTTGGTTAGACATGCTAACAGAGTTGTGATCGTGGTTTTCGGAGTGTGGCGACATCTCTATCTCCAAGAGAGACACACGGAGGAGTTTGTAGGTGAAATAGCATGATGTCAGGGATTAGCAGCAAATGGCTCTGGATCGTAGTAAAGAAATAGCATGAGTAGCATTCAGGGAAAGAGCAAAGAATAAGTAAGTCTCATTTTGCTTGTCTGTTCTTGTTGACAGCTACAGAGACTGCAAGGATGCTGACTGTTCCGGAAATGGGCCTTCAAGGGCTGTATATCAGTAAGACCTCTACTGCCTCTCCCTGCCCAACACCCCACTTGCCTTGGCATGGAGACTAGTCACTGCTCCCAATTGCCTCTCTCAGCACAAGTTCCTGAGAAGAGCCATTCTGTAAATTCTACACTCTGTGCGTGTGTGTGTGTGTGTGTGTGTGTGTGTGTGTGTGTGACGCACACCTGTTCATGTGTGTGCAGGGATGGTCTGTATATAGAAAGTATCTGTTCAGAGACCCCTGTGTGTGTACATGTACTGGTCTGTGTGCAAAGGACTTGCATATGCTCTGTGCAAGTATGTGAGTATACAGGTGGGTCCCTGTGCATAGGACCTTGTGGTCTTTGTGGTCTGCAGGTGGGCACTGGACTCAACCCATCTGCTTTCATCTGAGTGTAGGCTTTGTGCGCTCTGCAGGGTGGGAGGCCAGCAGGCAGGAGGGACACTCCTCAGGAAGTCCATTCACAAAGCCCTGGTGGGCCGGGCCCTTCCTTCCTGCCTCCCTTCCCAGGCTCCAGCCACAGCAACTGCCTTTCACATTAGAGCTGGTAGCAGGGCCTAGTCCATCCTGGAAGCCCAGGGAAGGGGACTTGATCTGTAGCTGCCCTGAGCCTGTTCTTCTGGTACCCAGACACACTGCAGCTGTGCCCAGGCACTTCCTACAGACCCTCACATACATTCCCTGGGTTATCACAGGGCCACCGTCAAGGATCACTGACAAGCTGAGGGAGTGCAGCCAGCCCTGGCCCAGAGTACAGCCGGCCGACCTGCTGACACAGGCCTTCACGCCACATTCCATACTCCTTCTCTTATCAGCCTCCCTAGCCCCATCCACCGGTGTCAGGGTCTCAGTGCCACCCCCTCGGATGACCCTTAGCAAACCTTAGTGTGATGGTGACTAGTGATTTTAATGCTTCCTGTCCCACAGGTGTCCAATTCAAGCCATGCCTGGGGCCCTCCTGAAGGTTGCTCTGTTTCCTAGACCCTTAAGTCATCCCAGGCCGGGACCTTCAGGAAGATTTCAGTGGCCCCTCTGCCCCAATGCTAACTTGAGTGTATGCATGTGTGCTGGAACAGGTGATCAGCATTCCTAGTGCTGAGGACATCCCCAGACACAGAGCCCGGCTGGGGGCCGGTGCTGCCTTCCCCTTCTGGTCCTGTCTGTGCCCATTGGGAATGGGAGAACTTCAAGTTCCGATTAGAACCTTGAGCCCAACATGGGCCTTATGTCAACATCACAGCCACTTGCATCTGCAGTCCCCCCCCCCCCCCCTGCCACAGGAGCCTGTCTACCCATCGCTCCTACCTACCATCTCTAGACTGCCCTTCTGCTACAAAATGCTTCTCTGCCTCCTTCTAGCCTCCTGTGTGAGCTTAAAGGGAACTGTGCCCGGGTGATGCATACAAGTCACCATCCAGGGGCAGGTGCATCTGACTGGTCCAGGCAGGTGCTTAGACCCCAGCCTGCATCATGCATGCCCTTCCTACTCCCTCCTGTCTCCCTTCCCTCACAAGTGGCCCTCCGCCTCAGTCAGGCTCAGGGGAGCAGGTGGAGGCTTGTGCGAGGCCTGGGCTGCTGCTTCCCAGGTTGTTCCAGGGTGATGTGGCCTCTCTCCTCCACAGGCTCCAGCCCCGAGAGATCCCCCGTGCCCAGCCCCCCCCCGGCTCTCCGAGGACCCAGGAAAGCTGTGGCATCGCGCCCCTCACACCTTCACAGTCTCCAGTGAGCCCTGATTGGGAATTTGGGTGGGAGGTGACCTGGGTGGTATAGAGGAGGGTAGTCCCTGGCAGGGCTCTGGCAGGGACTGGACTGAAGACAGGTGTACAGGCATGCCACCAGGCCTCCTGCCCCTGGCAAGCTAGTCATGTGCCCCCACGGCCTGGGACTGTAGGTGTACCAATTCTACTGAAGCCAGAAGCTCCAGGTAACTCACTCCCACTGCTCCCTGTAGCAGGATGACTCCTGGGCGCCCCTGTGACTGACCTGCTTAGGCAGGCCTGTGACTTTTCTAGGTCCTCAGAGCACTGCTCCTGCCAGTCAGAGCCCTGACATACTCTGAGTCCCATCTCAGGGAGAAGTATATTGTTTAAAAATATTTAGAGGGCTGGAGAGGAGGCTCAGAGGTTAAGAACACTGGCTGCTCTTCTAGAGGTCCTGAGTTCAATTTCCAGCACCCACATGGTGGCTCACACCCATCTATAGTGTGAGCTGATGCCCTCTTCTGGCATAAAGGTGTATATGCAGATAGAGCACTCATATACATTAAATAAATTGATCTATTTTTAAAAATTTAGAAACTGCACAGTTGAAGTTTCCAAGACATAGCCTCTGTCCTCACGGCTTTCCTGGGTTACCTACCCCATATGGCTTTGTCCTGGTCATCCAGTTTGGAGTCCCTCTTGTTCTCAGGGAACCCAGGCCTAGCCTGGGAGAAGTAGGGACAATTCCGCACCTACGTTGGGGCCCCTTCTCTCTTCTACAAAACCAGTATCTGGTTCGTGTTACAAAATCAAGAGGTAAAGTGTGCACATCTGTGTACTAGAAAACAGACCAGAAAAGCCAAATAGCTCCCAGCTGGGGTGAGCCTAATAGCAGAGTATGACAATGGTGCAAGTTGGAGCTGGGTGGAGGGAGTCTGGGCAGCAGTCAGATGAACTAAGCTAGACAGCAGTGATTGTAACCCCAAACAGCCATGGCTGCCTGAGAAGCCTTGGCCTGTCCAAGCAGGTGGAATGGCCAGGTCTCAGGTCAGAGGGAGAGCGTGTAAAACCAGGCCAATGGGACTGGGACAAAGCTGCTTTGGGCCACAGGCAGTGAAGGGAGGGAGCTCCTCTTAGCTGCTGGCTGACTTTGGTCTTGGACTTGCAGAAGCCAGAGGCCCGTGCTCCACAGCAGGCCTCCTTCTCTGTGGTTGTAGCCATCGACTTTGGGACCACATCCAGTGGTTATGCCTTCAGCTTTGCTAGTGACCCTGAGGCCATCCACATGATGAGGTGAGGCCAGCTGGACTGGGAGATGGGGTGGGGGAGGTACCTCGAACCCTGGGATGGGCCTGGTCTTAGAAATAATCACGGGGCAGGGTCTTATCAGAGCCCCTTGCATCTCTAGGACTCCTCACTGAGACAAAAGGCTAGAGACCAGACTTCAGGTCTGAGCTTCAGCCTTATTTGGAGTCCTCATATCCACTACAGGAATGCTGGGCTTCATTTATTTATTTGCAGTGCTGAACATCAAGCCCAGGGCCATGAGCATACTCTACAAGTATTCTTGACTTATATCCCCAACCCAGGGCTTAATTTTGGGGTGTATGTCTTAATTTTTTAAGTGTGTACATGTATGTGTGTGTGTGTTTGTGCATGTGTGCATGCATATTAAGGCCAGAGGTCAGCAAGCATCTTCCTCTGTCACTCTCCATCTTCTTTTATTGAGACAGGGCCTCACTGGACCCAGAGCTCACTGATTGGCTAGACTAGCTGGCCTTGGAACTCTGGAGATCTACTCATTCCTACTCCTCACCCTGTCCCCCTAGTGACAGGGTTATAGGTGCCACCATGCCCAGCCTAGGCTCTAAAAATAACAGAAAGAGAGGGACAGAGGGAGGGAGGGAGAAAGGGAGGGAAGGAGGGAGGGAGGGAACAAAGGAAGGAATCATGAAAGAACTTGAAGTAATTTGGCCTTGGAAAACAACCTTGAGAAGTACAGTGACTGGCTAGAGATGGCTTCTGCTAGGGTCCCGGGAAAACATATCAGGTGGTCAGCCACATGGAATAATAGCTCGCCATTGTTGACAATAATACAGAGGAGAGGTCAAATGAGACAGCCTACCCAGAGGTCTCTCAGGGCCCCTTGGATAGAGAGGATCCCATGGGGAGCATTTATAGGGGGATGTAAATGAAATCCTAAGAGATATGTACTCTCATTATTCTGTGGGGGCAGTGCTTGAGAGACGGTCTCACTCTGTAGGTCAGGTTGGCAATCATCCCACCTCAGCCTCCTGAATGCTGGGGTTACAGTCACCACTCCCAGTTCCATTATTTTCATCTTACCTATGAGGGGGAAAATTGGAAGCTCAGGAAGTTGTGTGCTCATGGTCATGGTCACACAACTAGCCCCTGAGCCAGCACCCAACTGTAGGAACGTTGCCTCTGGCTCCCCTGACTGCTTTTGTCTCCACAGGAAATGGGAGGGGGGAGACCCAGGCGTGGCCAACCAGAAGACCCCTACTTGTCTGCTGCTGACCCCAGAGGGTGTCTTTCACAGTTTTGGCTACACCGCCCGTGACTATTACCACGACCTAGACCCTGAGGAGGCTCGGGACTGGCTGTACTTTGAGAAGTTTAAGATGAAGATTCACAGTGCCACCGTGAGACACTGTGGCCAGGCTTCCACCAGGGGGGTGGATCCGAGAAGGGAGCGGGTGGTGTTAGTGGAGTGCAGGACAGAGCTAAAGACTAAAGGAGCAGCCTAACTAGGAGCCCAAGGGGGGATAATGGGCAGAACAGAAGTGGGCAAGCCTAGCGGTGGGCTTGACGTCAATGGTTAGAGGATGGAGGGGCAGGACCAGAGGACGGCTGGGGCACAGCTGATGGGAGGAAGCCATGGGACTTGGGGCACGCTTGCAGAGTGGCCCTGTGTCTCTGCCAGGATCTTACCTTGAAGACCCAGCTGGAGGCCGTGAATGGGAAGCAGATGCTGGCCCTGGAGGTGTTTGCCCACGCTCTCCGCTTCTTCAAGGAGCACGCCCTTCAGGTGTGCTGCTCTTCCCAACCCACCGACGGGGACAGAAACCCCCTACCCCTTCCATCCCCTTCCTCTCCCCTCATCCCACTCTGCGACCCAATGGGGACAGTCCAGTCCGTCTCCAGTCCCCTGTCCTGTCTGTCAGGACTTGTACTTGGGCCAGCCGGGTGAAAATCACTTTTCACTCCAGCAACAGATCTTCCCAAGCTGGGAGGCCCTGACTGTGACTTGATGAGTCCTCCCTGCTCTCAGAAGGGTCTGAAAATGCTTCGGGCCAGCTGTCACCTCACGGTCCTCCCCTACTGCAGGAGCTGAGAGAGCAGAGCCCGCGCATGCTGGAGAAAGACGCAGTGCGCTGGGTGCTGACAGTGCCTGCCATCTGGAAACAGCCAGCTAAGCAGTTCATGAGGGAGGCTGCCTACCTGGTGAGAATGTGCAGGTGGAACTGTGGCTGACCCCAGGATGGCCCTGTGGGTGCACACCTCAGCCACTCTTCAGCCCTGGGGACCACAGAAACCACTGTGTGAAGATAACACCCTTGTTGGGATTTTGGGAAGCTGTTGTCCCCTAGAGAGGGAGTGGGTCTGCAAGAACAAGGGCAGCTGGACACAGGCATAGGCCATCATGGATGGTGTCCTGTCAAGTTCCTGAGAAGCGGAGCCCAAGAAGGGGAGTATTGTGTATATAGTCTGTTGAAGATGGGCTCTCAGGATAAAGAGGGCGGAGGACCAGAGAGTGATACACAAGGATGCAATCTTGCTGGAGTCTAGCTTCAACCCTGTTCTACAGGAAGCCCCAGAGGGAGGATTGTGGCACTGAATTGGCCACGGTGAGGCAAGGGTCCATAGCTGCCTGCCATTGCTTGCTGGTGGGGTGGAAGGGACGCTTGTCCGCATGAGGTGGACAAATGTCTAAGGCAGGAGCAGGCAGAGGCCAGAGACAGCAACTGTGGTCCTCAGCGAACTTTCGCACACCTCCACTCCTGCTCCAGGCATCGTAGGCTCTTCCCAGGTGAAAAGGACTATTTAGAGCTACAAAGGGAGCTGCCTTCCTATCACAGAGAATATGGGGTTCAGACACTACCCTCTCCACTGGGGACAGAGAGGCCTCACAGAGCAAGACGGGTTGGTTGGCTCTGCCCCTGGGACCTTGAGGAACAGACCCTAGAACATCCAAAGGTATCTCAACCCTGCCTTCTGCCTCCTTAGAGATACCAATATGCCTTTACCTGTGGGTCTGATGAAAGGACTGTGGGTGCCGATGCTCGTCCCTAAAGGGAGCTGACTTTGAGCACAGTGAGCCGCTCTGTAGGGATCACATGTCCCCAGACAGAACAAACATGCCTGCCATTTACCTGCCCTGCTTTCTCCCACCTTGCTCCCTGATGGCCCAGGGCAGGAAGCCTCCATCCTACCTGTCTCCCTCTTCCTAACCTCATCAGAATGCATGGAATCCCGTGAACCCTAAACTCCCTAGAGAGACCTTTGTCCTGCTGCAGGAAATGGCAGATTTTGAGTGTTTCTCCCTTACCCCCCCCCCCATGGTGCCTGGAATTTCACTACTTCCTTCCTGCTATAGCAGATTCTCTGGGAACAAAGTTCTCCTGGGAGTGGGGCAGCCTATGGCCAGTATCTGACAGGAGCCTGGTGAGCTGGGCAGTGCCCCACCCTGCAGTCCTCTGCTCCCACCCCCAGAATTCCTCAGCTTCCTCAGCAACACCACAACCAGCACTTAAGTTAGCCAGCTCTGCACCCGGGGATGAGAAACTTGCTGCGGCCATGCCATTTTTTTCTGCTCAGTAAACGTCTGGCTCCTTGGCCCTGACCCTCACTAGCCTGACCACACAGTGGCGGTGAGGCAGCTTCAACTGTGTGTAGCATGAAGGGGCCTGACAGGCCTAGCATGGATGGTGTGTGGTAGGAGAAAAACCAGGGTACCATCTTACATGACAGACCACCTATCCCCAGGCTGGTCTGGTGTCTCGTGAGGATGCAGAAAAACTCCTCATCGCCCTGGAGCCTGAGGCTGCCTCTGTCTACTGTCGAAAGCTTCGCCTGCACCAGCTCATGGACCTGAGTAGCCGGACCGTAGGTGGCGGGCGCCTGGGTGAGCGCAGGTCCATTGACTCCAGCTTTCGCCATGGTGAGCTAGCGCTGGGTTCGATGCCCTTGAAAGGTTGGAAGTTTATCTGTGTCTACGATGGAAATGGGGAGTCAGCACTCTGAGGGAACCCAGGATCCCTGGTGGAGTTCGGTGTGAGGGGTACACAGCCCTGGTTCCAGAACCCCAGATTGGGGACAGTCTCACCTTGACCAGGGAAGCTGAGTCTGAGGGTCAGGGAGAGAGACTGCCTGGGGGCAGGTCCTCAGTGGACACGAACAAGGGAGCGAGCTGAGCCCCAGCCTCCTCTTGAGAAGCTTTTCCTAAAACTCTATCAGCTGTTACCCACCCTGCCCTCTCAGCAGCCAAAGCTCTTGCAGCCTGACCCAGGCACTGAGGCCAAGAACAATTCTAGTCCATTTTGGTCATCCTCCTAAATGTGATCTCCCTGGGCGAGAGAGGCCCCAAGTCCTCCCCCCAGATACTTTCAAGGCCTCTTGGGTCTTCCTCTGGGTCAAGAAGTCCCATATCCAGAAGTGCTTCTAGCTGCTTCCAGAGCCTAGGATTGGGATCAGTGTTGCTGAAGTGCCTGGGACAGCCTTGGTGAGGAGGAGGATTGAGAGTGGTAGCTCCTAACCTCACTGTCCTGCTGTGCCCTACCCCAGCCCGGGAGCAGTTGCGGAGGTCTCGCCACAGCCGAACGTTCCTGGTGGAGTCTGGCGTAGGAGAGCTGTGGGCGGAGCTGCAGGAAGGTGAGACAACGGGGAATGAAGGAACGCCTCAGAGCATGCGGAGAACCTGCAGGAATGGGGGAGGGCCATCTGTGGAGCCTGCCTCTTCCCTCAGCCACCTACACCCCATCTGCACCCCTACCTAACTCCTTACTCCAGGAGATCCTGGTCCATGTTCAAGCCTCAAGTCATGCCCCTTCCACACTCGTCCTTGTTTGGTAGCCTCAGATGAAGCCCTTCACCTCCCCCCCTTCCATGTTGTCCCCCAAGGCTGGGCTGGGGGCTGGGGGTGGGAGGTACAAGAGTAAAGGTGAGAGACAGCCCTTTAATGGTACCTGTATTGGCCGGTGCAGGAGACCGCTACATGGTGGCAGACTGTGGGGGTGGCACTGTGGACCTGACCGTACACCAGCTGGAGCAACCTCATGGCACCCTCAAGGAGCTCTACAAGGCTTCTGGCGAGTAGACCAACCAGTACCCTTGCCACCCAGCTCGCACAGGGCCTTCTGTCGTCCCCTGGTGGCCTACCTGGCAATGACACCCTCTCTGTCTCCTACCTACTGCAGGCGGCCCTTATGGTGCGGTGGGGGTGGACCTGGCCTTTGAGCAGCTGCTCTGCCGCATATTCGGAGAGGACTTCATTGCTAAATTCAAAAGGCAACGGCCAGCAGCTTGGGTGGATCTAACCATTGCCTTCGAGGCCCGCAAGCGCACTGCAGGCCCGCACCGTGCAGGAGCACTCAACATTTCCCTTCCCTTCTCTTTCATTGATTTCTACCGCAAGCAACGAGGCCACAACGTTGAGACTGCCCTGCGCAGGAGCAGGTGTGCCCAGGGTCAGGGCTCAGGCAGCCTTTGCTAATGTGGCCTGCCCTTGCAAGGGAGAGTCGTGGACTCCAGGGCCTAGCGACAGAGGCCTGGTCAGTTCCACACATACACACCAGGCCAGCGGAGGCAGTGACAGGAGGTGGGGTGTGGGGACTGGGTGGTGGGGCAGGTCCACCAGCAGTCAGGAATTGGCAGTCCAAAGCAGATGTCATAAGGGACAGAGGTTGCAAGTTTTATCTTCTCCCTGCCCTACCCTGTTCTCAATGCTCTTGGCTCTGCTACACTGATATAAAGGTTTGTGACCTCCTGAATGAGCAGGGCAGACAGCAGAGTCAGGCTGGGGATAAGGGCAGGTGACCACTCTTTATATACAATGGGAGGACCCCCTTACTGTGCTGAGCCCCGACTTGTCTCCTTCACCTCCTACAGTGTGAACTTTGTGAAGTGGTCCTCACAGGGGATGCTCCGGATGTCCTGTGAGGCTATGAATGAGCTGTTTCAGCCCACAGTCAGTGGGATCATCCAACACATAGGTGAGTGCCTAGACGCCCCACTCATCCTCAGACTCGGGGTCAGAAATAATCCCTCTCATCTATGCCTGTAAGCTACCGTACATCCTTACCTTGGGATGAAACCCAGAACTGTCCGTAATACCTGGAGCAAACAACACACGGTGGTTAAGGAATTGTTCATAGCCCTTCCAGGTTAAAGAAGGCCTGGTGACTCTGTTTCCCCATTTTGTGAAGGGGACTAAGTGAGCCGACAGTGTATAGAGTGGGCTCGCTGCCCTGAAGAGGATAAATGCAGTCTTGATTCTTTACACTTAACGGGATGGTAGCAAAGGTAGGGTGTTTGGGTCTGGCAGGATCAGTGAGGGATCAGTGAGGAGCCTCCCGTGCAAGAGCTGTTTCCTATGGAATGCCTGGATTTTAGAGTGCTGATGGGGCTGGGCATGGTGGCGAACACCTTTAATCCCAGCACCCGGGAGGCAGAGACAGGTGGGTCTCTGTGAGTTCCAGGACAGCCTCCAAAGCTACACAGATAACCCTGTCTCAAAAAACCAAATCCCCCAAAGAGTACTGGTGGGGGCAGTAAAAGAGCCACTTACCATGAAATGGTGACCCTTAGTGACTGACTCTCTGTCCCCTTCTCTCTTCCCGAACCCCACCCTAACCCTGCCCCTGCCCTGCAGAGATGTTGCTGGCTAGGCCTGAGGTGCAGGGTGTCAAGTTGCTATTTCTGGTGGGCGGCTTTGCAGAGTCAGCTGTGCTGCAGCATGCGGTACAGACAGCGCTGGGCACCCGTGGCCTGCGCGTTGTGGTCCCGCACGACGTGGGTCTCACCATCCTCAAGGGAGCAGTGCTCTTTGGCCAGGCACCTGGTGTGGTGCGGGTGCGCCGCTCGCCTCTCACTTATGGCGTAGGCGTGCTCAACCGCTTTGTGCCTGGCCACCACCCACCTGAGAAACTGCTGGTTCGGGATGGGCGCCGCTGGTGCACTGATGTCTTTGAGCGCTTCGTAGCCGCAGAGCAGTCGGTGGCCCTGGGAGAGGAGGTGCGGCGCAGCTACTGCCCGGCGCGCCCGGGCCAGAGGCGTGTGCTCATCAATCTGTACTGCTGCGCCGCGGAGGATGCACGCTTCATCACTGACCCTGGTGTGCGCAAGTGTGGCGCACTCAGCCTGGAGCTTGAACCTGAAGGCTGCCGGGAAAACACAGGCACGTCCCCCAACCGTCGTGAGATCCGCGCTGCCATGCAGTTTGGCGATACCGAGATAAAGGTCACTGCTGTGGATGTCAGCACCAACCGCTCTGTGCGAGCGGCCATTGACTTTCTTTCCAACTGAGGGTGCCCCTTTCAGTGGGGACACAAGAACATGCTAGTTTTCATGGCAACAACTGTTTCTCCCTACCCTGAGAGAAATGTGGTAAGAACACATGGAGACTCGCTTTGGGATTGACTGGAACACTAAAAGTCCCCTTGCTTCAACAGAAACCCCCATGAGGCGAGGTGGTAGAAGAGACTTTTAAGGGGTTTGTTAGAGGACACCCGAGCCGGTTTTGGCAGATGTGTGACCACGAAAACTGACCACAACAGAGGACTAAACACCAGCCTGAACTTGAGGATTGAGAGGAAGGTTAAGCAAAACCGCTTAGGAGCCAGGCCTGAGGGTCAGCATTCACTAACTGTTGAGCTCTAGCCGCAGGAAGCCAGAGAGCAGTTTCATGCAGGGGTAGGGGGTGTGGCATACCTGGATGTGAGACTGTTAATTGCAGAGCAGTGGCTGATGGCGACAGGTGCACTGTTACAGAGATGGCAGTTTGGAGGGGATATGGACACAGCATGACAAAGGACCCATGAGCAGGCTACAAATGACCCATTGCCCCAACCCAGCCACAGGAGGACAGAGTTCACAGGGGCTTACTCAGGATAGTACACCATCAGAAAATCTGATCAACCATGGGCCTCAGTTTCTCCAAGTGTGAAATGTCAGGCACTTAGGTCAACCATGGCATAGGACAACTTTACCTGCCTGAGAACCTTACCCTAGGTAAAAATAAAGCATCTGTGGTCGGGAAAGGCAGCAGTCTTCTGGAACCACCAGAGTGGGGACCCCCACACAAGTACCAGAGAGAAGGGAGACCATTTACAGCTGCACAGATGACAGGGACTTGGGAAGGAGCTGTTGCTTTCTCCCTGTCCAGCATCAGAGTCCCTGAAGACTGCTTTATGGCCTACACAGGATGCACTCCCACCCAAAGTAAGCAACTGGCCCCAGGCCTAAAAGGCATCCGTCCCCTTATGGTGCTAGTATCATGCAGTACCGCTTCCTCCTGACGACACTGGCCCATCTGTGAAGGACAGGGTAGTCTCCCAACCCCAGAGAACAAAAAGCACCCACTGGTATCTACTGGAACTTTTATTTATTAAGGAGTCTATCCCAACCAGTCATTAAAAACCAAGTACCACAGACCTGAGGGGTGGGAGCTGGGAACTGTACCTCCTCACCACACGAACGGTGGTGGGGAAGATGGAGGGCCAGCAGAGGTGGAGACGACAATAGCAGCAGCAATGGGGCATCAATGTCACACAGACAGAGCCACTCCATCCTCTCCCAGTCCCTAGCTAGAGCCCTATGGCTTGGGGTGGAGGAGGTAAATCCCACCCCAGACCCCTCCTCTCGGATAGCCTCCTTGGGACTCAGCTCATTTCTTCAGTCAGGAGACTCAGGCACATGGGAGGAGGAGTGGGAGGAGGCCACAGGAGAGGCAGGATGTGGCAGGAATGAAGGCAGACGTGGGAGGCAAGAGCAAGGGCAAGCCCTGCCACGCCCACCCAGGGGAGAGGTGAGGAAGCCACACCATCACGCAGCATGTCGGGAAGCAGGTGGAACTTAAGGCTCAGGGGCTCAGGCAGGCAGGCAGGCGGGCAGGCAGGGCCCCAGGCCTCAGTCGAAGCCGTGCCAGTCGCTGTGTTCTGAGTCGTACTCCAGCTCAGCGCCCACACACTTGACACCATCCAGCAGCATGGGTGTACCGTGGTGCCGGTCTGCAAGGCAGGTACCACAAGTCAGTGTGCTGGCTGTGTCCTGGTACCACACAAGGTATTGCACAGGGACCTCTCCCTTGCATTGGCTGGGGAGCCAGGGGAGGACCCTGCCAAGGAGGTTAGAACCCCCTACCAGCTTCAAGATTCCCTGTCCATGCTCCTTCCTCCAACCAGACCTACCCTGCTCTCACTTACCCATGACCCGTGCCTGCACCATCACACGCACACAGGCTCCCGTGTCACCTTCACAGGCCAGCAGCATCTCCTCTTTGAGAACGCCCTCTTTGTGTGCTGAATACTCACACTTGATGCTGTACCCTGCTGGAGGACAGGGAGGAGAGGCTGTCAGTGCCTCCCACAGCTCCTCTGTTTTGTCCCAGCACTCATAGTCCTCCAGAGACCCAGCCCCACAAAGCTGGCACAGAACTTAAGAAATGCCCCGTTGTTTCAAAGAAGGTCAGTGTGCCTCTAACTCAGCATGCTCTAAAGGTAGAAAACAGGCTCCAGTAATGCTTTTAAGAGAAGGGTCCCCCTGGTGTCACATGGGAAGGTGGGAGAAAGGTGATGGAGAACAAGGAGAGGCTGTCAGAGTGGGCTTTCAGCGAGAGGAAAGGACTTCCTGAGCTCACTGACAGGCAAGCCGTCAGGAAGCAGTAGTGGCGGGGACAGGACAGAAGCTGGAACTCAGCAGCACACCCTGAACCTGGCATTCCAGTCTCTGCCAGGCTGGGGCCAGGAGTGGGACAGGACCAGAAGCCAGCTGGAGAATCAGCCCAGAACCCACAGCCAGAAACTAGTAGGTGCTAGGCATTAGCCATCCAAAGCTAATCGCACAGCTCCAGCCTTTTTATCCCGGAAAATGAGAAGGAAGGCTGGAGGCCCAAAGACAGTCCTCAGGGGCTCCATCTCTGGAACCTCTCCACTGAGGGTATCACCAGGCAGTGGGCAGGTGCAAATCTGCAGTGTATGGATGGAATGGATGTCTCTGTCTAAAAGTGGAGGCCTGGGCTGGAACTGCTGTTTTCCCACACTGTAAACCCAAGGAGGTGCCATGCCCCGGACTTCTGCTGAGCTGCCTATTTACCCTACCTAGGGAAAGGGCCAAGAACCCCACTCCCACTCCCAGCAGGCAGTCATGGCTTGAGGGCAGGCCTCCAGCAGCCCAGAAGAGGACCTACCTTCAGGGATGGGAGTGACACTGAGGAGCTTGAGGTGCAGGCTGTGGACAGGGGCCTCACGGATGTCTTTGTTCAGCCTGCGCACAGGAGGCAGAGTGAAGGTAATCTCATACCTGTGCAGGATCTTCAGGAAGCCAACCTGCAGCAACAGGGGTTAAGAGAGAGGCATCGTCACTGCTGCTTCTCCTAGGGCTTCAGCGTCTGCCGCCTATGCTCCTGGAGGGCCCTGGAATCTACTTTCCCGGGAGCCCAACTCTTGTTATTCTCCAGCTGTTCTACCCTCATGGCTCCAGGCCTCTTAACAGAATCCCTTCCCCTTGAGGCATCCCCAGCATCTGTCTCAGAGGCCCCACAGGCCTCTGCGGTCAGCTTTATAGGTAAGAATATGGAAGACAGGAAATAACTGCCTAGAGGCCACACTGAACTACAGAAAAGTTCTTCCTAGACCTCTTGGTCACTCCTAACCTGTGTGGTATACAATAAGAAACCAGCCAGTTCCAGGGAGGAGAAGCTTAACATTCAGCTCCTGTCAAGACCCAGCAGCCAGTGTCAGAACGGTGGTGTTTTTGTTACTTGACAACATGGGATCGGGAAGAGGACAGAACTGGAGAAATGGACATGAGGGTCTGGGGTATAGCTCAGTGGTAGACTCAGAAGTCAACATGTGTGAAACCCTGGTTTTAATCCCAGGAACAAAACAAAAAACCACAGTAAACCAGCCGTGGGAGTCCACAGCCGGCCACAAGCCAAATATTAACCACTGAACCTGTGATCCTATCGACACACAGTAATGATGCCTGCCTACCTGCCCACTCAGAGGTACCATGTGACCAGTGACCTCTGCTCATGGCCCAAGCAATTTCTCTTGTCCAGACGTACTACTTGGCCAATCAGTACGGTCCCTCTGGGACAGGAGCCTTGGGAAATTTTTGGTGTGAAGGGTCATAAGCTAAAATGGCTGCTGAGCATGGTGGCATTCTGAAGGCTCATTTCTGAACCAGGCACGGTAGCTCACGTCTACCCCCAGCACTAAGGAGGCCAAAGCAGTAGGACTGTCACAAGTTTGAAGCCAGTCTGAGCTACCTACTGAGTTTTAGGCCAGCCTGGCGACACTCTCAAAACAAAGAGCTGGGCGTATGGCTCAGTTAGTAGAGGGCCTGTCTGGCATGCGTGATCCAGGGTTTGATCCCCAGCACCAAATCAATCAGGCATGGTGGGGCATACCTGTAACCCCAGCACTCTAGAGGTGGGGGCAGAAGGACCAGCAGTTCAAGGTCATCCTTGGCTACACAGCCAGTTCAAGGACAGCTTGAAGTACATGAGACCCTGTCTCAAAAAATAAACAAAACAACACAGTTTTTTTTTTTATTTGGGGGGGGGGGTTGGCTTAACACACATACTATACTGCTGTGGAGGGCAGAAGACAATTTGCTGGAGTTGGCTCTAACCTTCCACCATATAGGTTCCAGGGACCAAACTTAGGGAGTCAGGCTGGGCAAGTACTTTGACCTGCTAAGCCATGTCAATAGCACTCAAAAGTTTTTCAGATCTAGTGAGCTGGCATAGTGGGCTAAAAGGGTACTTGCCACTGACCTGGCAACCTGAATCTGGCCCCCAGAACCCGAACAGTAGAACTGACTTTTATGAGTTGTCCTCTGGCTTTACACCTCCCCCTCCCCAAAAATAAATGTAAAAAGTAAAAAAAAAAAAAACCAAAATGGCTTTCTGGGAGCTGCGTACACACAGTAATCATTTTAAAGACTCTTTGGCTATATTTGTCTGCTGTGACCTGGGGCCCAGCTGTGGCACTTGCACAATTTGCCAGGGAAATACTCAAAGATGCTAAGACAATGCTGATCAGCAGCTAAATTATAGCAGGAATGGAAACAATGGGAGCACCCAGGAACACAGAAGCAGTCATGGCATATGCCAAATACCAGATGGGGTAAAATCTCACTGAAAATTATTTTCTAGCAGGCAGGAAACAGTTTGCCAACAGAAGCAAGCAAAAAACACCATGTCCACTGTGATAGTAGCTTTGGAAAACAAAGCTTTGAAAAAGGTGTAGTAAGGTATTTCCTAGGGTCACTTCTGGGTGGTGTGACTATGACTATGGCTACACTTGCCTTTCCTGGTAATTTTTTTAGTGCCTTTTTTGTTTATTTCCCTGGGAATCATCAGCTGCAGAAGAGAAAATGAAGGCTTTAAAATTGGTTAGAAATGAATTCAAACCTTGGACCCCTCTGAGAAGGGCAGCAAGCCTGTGGGGCTAGTCTCCATGGACCAGCCCTCTGGCCTCTCACCACAGGGCACTCCTGCTCAACTCTGGGACCCTGTCTTATTGACCTATCTGAAGGCCTCAGTCCTCATTCTCCCCAGCCCAGCCCCTCCAACAATTCCTTTCTGTCCCTCCCTAGTGCGTGTGGAACCTAACTGCATCCAAGCAGCTCAAGGGGTCATGCTTCTGGGTATATGAAGTTTGGCCATGAATAACAGTGCTCCGCTGACACAGCTCAGTACAAGTGTGTGTTTAGAGTGTGCAAGGCCCCAGGTTCGTTTGAGATACTACCACCACAAGGAGCCAAACCTGGCAAAGAGTAAAACTAACAACTCATCATCACCATAATTAGCCACATCACATACACACATCCTTTCATTCTCACAACAACTTTGTGGGGCGTGAATAGCCAGCTAGTGTGACAGCTCAGCAAGTAAAAACTTGCAGCCAAGGATGATGAGCCTTGGAGCCCACAAAATGGAGGAAAAAACACTCCAGACTCATGCAAGTTGTCCTCTGACCTCCATGTAACTGTGCCATGCACGCTCCCACAAAACAACTAAATTTAAGAAACA